GAGCAGGCTGAGACTGACCCTGTAGGTGAGGAGCAGGCTGAGACTGACCCTGTAGGTGAGGAGCAGGCTGAGCCAGATTTAAAGTGCTTTGGTTGGCGTACGGCCCGCTGTGAGGGTCCATGACGACTTTGTGAAGCCGTCGGGCGCGGCTGCCGTCTGACTCTTTGATGACGCCTTTGGCGGGCGCACGCAGGACAGCCAGCAGACCCCGACTGGAACTGACCTGAGAGGGGTAGGGACTGTGGCGCTGGCTGGACGACGTGTCGAGCCCGTTGACTGTACGGCGAATGTGCTTCCTTTGAGGTACTTTGACACTGTTGGGGAAGATCTGGATGGATAGTGGGCTGTTGGCAACTTTCTTAGCATAGGCATCCAACTCTGCTGGGGTTGGATAGCTGGCAGATCTCATCTTCTGTGTAGTTTCCCCTGCAATCCGTCAGTCAAAGGTCAGCCATACAGAAATACATAACAACATGTTGGCAGCTTGAAAATAGTATGTGACAATTTGTACTCTATGTTTGCGATTTAGTCATTAACACACACATCTTAACTAGAACATGTCTTGGAACATGCATCATCATTAAAGGCCTAACTTATTTTAGCATCAAATAAAAATAACTTTATTCAACTGAAGTTTTCCAACTCCTATTTTTGCAGACTGGATCCCGTACACCGTCCAGCTACAAACCAGTTTGTTCATCACATTTTATACTGTTTACACGGTGAGATTTCTATTATTAACACTGTATAAAAAACATTATACCCTCTTAAAGGTTTTAGGTATCTCTCATGATGACAGTAATGATGGCAGTAGCTCAGTCTAAGGACTTGGCTTGGGAACCGAAGAGTCGCCAGGACAAGTCCCAATCAGACCAAATACGTGTGGACTGGTAGCTGAAGAGGCGCCAGACCAACTCCTGGGCACTGCCAAGGTGCCCTTGAGCAAGTGTATGTTTGTTATGAATTTTAGGCTATTGTGATTATTGATAACATAACACCGTGAAAAACTGAATTTCTCCATGGGGAATTAATAACAGTAATTGTAATCACACTTTCAAGTCATGTTACTTTAAGACCATGATTGAATGATATTGCAAACGTTTAAATTGAAACATCTCACTTACATTTCTGAAGTCCAGTGTTCATCTGCGTGCGGGAGAGAATTCTGAGGGTGGGGTCACCTGATGCTGTCAGACAGGCCAGCATGTCACTCTTCCACTACTGCAGCGTGGGACACCTTCTCTCACCATACTGGGGAGGAACAGAGGGGAGAGTGAGCCGCTGACAGACACTGACGCTGGTGTGATACGCCATTGCTATCGCCTATTTTCACATCCAGTACAGTTTGACCTTTTGCAAGGCAGCTTGCAATAAACTGACATCATGTTCTTCCATTGAACACAACAGCACATTGGAGTAGCATGATGGCAGACAACCAGATTTGTGTATTACTTAAAAAAACGCTTGAGTTGCAACAATTAGTTGATCAACAGAAAAATAATTGTTTTTTTAAAGTAATCAGTCATAAAAGCAGACATGATCAGCCTTAACTCTCACATATGGAGATTTCTTGCTTTTCCTTATTGTATTCCCTATTAAACTCAATATATTTGAGTTTTGGAATGATATACAAGTCATTGCCTTAGACTTGGAGAAACTGGGGTATTTTCCCATTTATAGAGTAAACTATTAATCAAGTCATTAACGATCTGCAGATCAATCAATAATAAAACATTATCTTTAGTTGCAGCTTCAGCACACACATTCAGTTTGCTGGAAATGTTTTTAGGCTATTTTATAAAAAGCTTGAACTGGATCAAAATGGAAACATGGATCCTGAATTGAAATGCATTTAAGTGTAGCAAAGTGGAGTACGTACACAAACACGTCCAGACGCCACTATAGCATAGACTTCACACAATTGGAAAACTTAAGTAATCACTAAGGATGTACCACTATAACAAGTACACTTCAGGTATTCTTCAGTGGTACTGAACTGTGGATGTATGATCTGCTCATGAATGATGACTCAGCAATATAATGAAGGAGGAAGCCATTTATGTGAGTTTAAGTAGGCTAACAGGGGCATGCACCTTTTTTTTTAATGCCAAAATATTGCGACGGAATGATTCACATGTTTTAACTAAGCACCAAAAACGACATCTTCATACTGTTTGTTTTGTAGGACCAACAGTCCCAGAGCCAAAAACAATGTAATATCTATTACTACATAACAACATTACATTAAAGAAGCTGGAACAAGGGAATGTTATGGTATGTAATACAATGGTATTTTTGTTTCAAATGTATGATAGATTGATGATCTTTTCTATAATGTAACTGATGAATTGTTTAAGCTCTAGTGGCGTGTTGCTGTAGTCACCAGCTGAGACATGTTAGCATCAGATCTATGACACACAAAGAGGCCGTGTTAACAATGGGACATACAGCAGAGTTGATCAAACACTGCGTCCATTAGCTAATACCCAGTGCCAGTCATCAATCATCTGCTGTAACGGAACTGATTCTGACCTAAGTGATGGATTGGGTAACGGCCCTGGTGTGAAATCATTTTATACAACAGCAGAGCAGTCCGTCAATCAAGAAAATAGCCATCAAATTGTTGGAAACTTAAATAATTGTTAGTTGCAGTCTTACAGCAGACTTTATTTCCCCTTCCTGCCACTCTAAAAAGAGAAAGCAGGGAAGAGCTTTCTTCTGATTGGTTACACATCTATTTGCAGATTCATCACAGATAGTTTATGACTCACCATTAGTTCACTTCCACTGGTCAGAGACTTGAGTGATTTGTCATAGTGGTACAAACTTAATGATCTCTAAAGGTTATTAGAAGAAATGTATCTGGGGAGATGGATTGCCGTCTTGGATATTTGTGAAGTGTTTGCGTGACCCCTGGCTCTTTGATGTGATCTAAATGCAAATGAATCTCCCAGTGTTTACCTTCTCACCATTAGATCATCTCAGATCTTAGAGATAAGTCAAATGAGCAATAATGCAGAGTAAAAATACTTTGTTGCAAGTAAAAGTAATGATTAAAAAAATCAGAAGTAAAAACATATGTACAATATTTCCAAAACTAAAATGATGTATTATGCAGATTGGATTTAGACTACACGTTACTGAATTATAATTATGTGATGATTGTTTTCATAACTTGAATGTTGCAGCTGGTTAAGGATGAAACTCATTAAAATAATAATATATGATAATGTATTTGTTTTGTACTTATGTTAATTTGCTCAATAGGTTAGGCTGTTGTATAAAATACTTTGTTGAGTAGGAGTATATAGTATGATGAAATGGAAATACTTTGGTCCATGTATCTAAAAGTCCTACAGTATTTTCTAAATGTCCTCAGCTACATTCCGTCACTCCTTTAAACTGTGTGAGCCTCAGGAGGAAGGGAGAATCTGCATTAAAGACTACATAATGTGACCTTTTTCACAGACTCGGGTCAGCGGGTGGATCTATGGCATCGTCCGGGGCTAACGCCTACATTGACCGGCGTATCGATCGTTATGGATCAGAGTTAGAACAGAGTAATAAATGAGGCAGGTTAACTTTTAGACAGCCGGTCTGTAGCTAGGTAACGTTAGCCATCTGTCTAGCCATCCAGCCTCAATCTGTTACCTAACATTAGTGCCGAGCTAATAAATGTACATGGAATATTTCAGCAAGCAAACTGGCCGAACTGAAAGCATACCGTCTCCTCGAAAGATGAGAATAACGTCGTGGAACAGGTTAAGGTTACCTCGAATCAGTAAATAAGGAGCTTCTTTGTGCTTGTTGTGAGCAGGCCAGCTGCTTAGCAAACTTTAGCTTCTCATTGACGGAAAACCCCGAAGCGAGCCGAATTAAAGAACGGTATACTTACTCCTCGTGAATCTATGAGTAAGTAAACTTCATTTTGTGGAGATGCAACGTTGATGTTTTGTAAAAAAAAAAATGAAGAGACCATCCCCGGCTTTGGCTCTCCGTGCTGCTGCTGCTGCTGTCTGGCTAGCTGGCTACCGCAGCAACAATTGTTGCGAATGCGCAGAGCTAGCCTGAGGACCCCCGGATCTGCATTTAGGCATCAGTGGTAAACTCCTGTCCGATAATGCCATCGACTGAAGCTCAGAGGTAGTAATCAGATCTGGTAGCAGAACCACTGTGACAAATACTGTTAAAAGAAATACAAGGTCTTGAATTCAAAGAACTAACCTCAAAATAAAAGTGCTCGGTATGCAGAATGGCCCATCTCATAATAATATACTTTATATCACTGGATTGTAATTGTGTGTTCTGCACTTTAATTTTGCAGCTGATAAAGTTGAAGATATAATATAATGACTTTACATACTGCTGTAACTTTATGTTTACATTAGTAAACATAAAGACAAGTACAGTCTTTGAGTGAATGTCATAAAGTACTTCCCACCACCAATGGGAATAGGCAACGATGCAAGAAATATTCAGAGCAGCAGCACAATACTAAATACTCACATATTTAAGTAGCATATAACCCGTTTTGGTAATGCATAATATTAAAGTATATTTAGTCAATTCCTTGATTTAGTTTGATTTCAGAAAAAGAAGGAAACGATATAAGGGAGAGGTCCCTAAACACAAAAGCAGTTTTTATAAAATTGAAAGGAACCTTTTATTTTATTTAACCCCACAAATAATACATTGAAATGAACAATATGATGGCTTTCCATAATATATGATACATTATATAATAGACTGAATCATTGCTATAAACCATTAAAAAAGAGATCAAATCAAACAAACCAATACAAACTGTAATAAAGCATGGAAATTAGTATTAACTGAGATCTGTTGTTTTCTACGAAACCACTTATAACTATATTTATAAATGTATATTCATGTCTCTCATCACCCAATATCGAACTAAGATTAAGAAACTGATTCAAGAGTCAGTAAAAAAAAGTACAAGTTAATTTAACTCAAAAGTAAATGGCAAAAAAGAATGAAAGTATGGTACGTATATTTATTAGAATGACAGTAGCTAAGAGTGAACGTATTATTCTCTGTACAGATGGATGGCATGCAGCGAGAGCATACAGGAACTCATGGCTGTGGGAGACACAGTGCACGTGTGTAAATAACATTTGAAGCTAAACAAAGTTATTACTGTCACAGTATTTGTCAAGTCGCTATATCAGCAAATGATACACAAATACATTAACGGAATATGAGCACAAAAAGAATATTAACAACAACAATCATACTAAATATAATAACAGTCCTGTGTGATGTCAGTATGCTCATGCAGGCTGCTTCTTCAGCCACACGTAGAACTGTCCTTTTCACCTGCTTCAGATATGAGCATCAAACAGGAGAATTCAGGTTTGTGTAGGTGTCCCAGTCATATACAGTATTTCAAAAGCTTTTCCATTTCACTTATTTTTTCCTTCTTCACTAAAGCTTAGACTTTGATGCATTAGACCGCAAAACAACTAAGTATTGTGACCATTTACAAAAATAAACATTGCTGCTAGACATTGATAAAACATTGTATGATATGTTTAACTACCCTTCTAAAGATCCTTCTATATTGGATGTCACAGTTATAAAAAACTAATCAATGTAGACCTGTGCGTACACAGAACAGAACATGTTTCTCTGAAAAGTGTCAACGTTTGGGTTGTTGAACATGGCTTGGCATCTAAAGATACTTTTAGTATGAAATGAAACATCAGATATACTATACAATATCCTGCTGATACAACAACGTTGAAAATAATCGATTCTATTTGCCATTGCCGTCTGGCCTCTCAGAATCTATTCACATTGAACTTTCTCAACACATCTTGATTTTTTAAACACCAACTGTTTGTTTTCTTAATCATGGCTGAAACTAGCAACACTTGACATTAAAACCAACACTAAATATTAAAATAACACGTTACAAGCTAACCATGTCAGCACAAGATCAGATTCTGATTCCGTTTTCCTAAATACAAAATGATGATCAGGCACAAAACACTTCTGTATTGTGCCTGATATGAACAGTCAGTGGTGATCTAAACTTTATTCAGGGGAACAGAAAACATTTGCACAATGGAAGGGGCTTCTTTAAGATTATGAGCACCTGTTACGTTGTACAAATCAATCTGTGACACATTCAACAACTAATAAAGAAAGCTCTACCATTTACAAGAAAAGATTCAGAAGATCTAGGGAATGCAGAAGTGTCTCACGATAAAGACAAAGGTCTATATGAACATAGAGGCCTGCAACATACACAATGTCAAAGTGAGAGCAGAGGCCTTCTGTTGCTGATAATAAAGATCAAGATGTTAACACCAGCCGTCACATGGTGATAGAAATCTAAGCACCATCACAGCAGTCTAATATCAGCTCTCCTCTTTGATCCCACCTCATGCAAACAGGCCAATATATATTAGAAATAGAACAAATAAATAAAAAACACATCACAACATGTGCAAACTAAATAAATTAAAACATCTCTGAATGAGCAGCAGGGCATTCAGATATTCTGGCCTTGTATAAAGTAAGGCACCAGGGGTTTCCAAAATTCACTTGGTATATAGTATATACGTATAAAACAACTAAATTCTTCAAGTGTATTAAAGGCAGTCCATCAGAGTGCATACAACAGATACTGGAGTCGTGGAGGGGGGGCTCTCAGTTTAGAGCACCGGTCATCTTCTGCAGCAACGGGATCTGAGGAAAAAGGACAAACCTGCCATTCATCTCTGAAACAAACACTCATTCTTCCAGAACTAAACTGGATTGCCTTCATGACCTACATTTTTTCCATTCACTGTTTTATTTGAAGGTTTTTCCTGAAGGTTCCACTGGCTGATTTGAACTCCTTTCGGGCTCCGATTGGATACAAAAGCTGAGATCATGTGTGAATGGTTGAATGCTGACTTTGATATAAGTCATAAAGACTGGAAAAGCACTTTTTAAAATGTAGTCTACTTAACCTTTACAAGTTTCACTGTCAATCGAATAGTGTTCTGTGTTTTCTGACAGCAATATAGAAGTATCTTGTAATATAAGAATGTTTCCTAAACATGACTCGATGGTAATGACTGCAACCAGAGGCATCCCTTTTCTTTTCTTCCCCTTTTCTCTTCCTCATGATGACATAATAAGGCAAAACTTAAAGTGCTATTTGACTGTCTTAGTGTCACATTACATGTACTACTCATTGAAGTCCAACTAAGCCTGTGCAAACTGTTTTAAAAAAATTAAAACCCCGATGACGTCATCACAGTTATCTCTGATCAGGTCTTGGAGACACCACATTTATTCTTTTACAGATAATCTGCATTATGAAGTTTTAAAAGATGAGGTCCTTTACAAGTCAGAACTGGTCTTCCCAGGATTATAAACGTGCTACTCTGAATTTAAACAGATGTTTCTCACTAATACCCCAACTTCATGAAGGTGCAATATTCAGTAACTGGAGTACCTCGTTAACCAATGCTTGATTGGAAAATACAACAATCCACCAACAACAGGCTGTTTTTTTTTAACATCTTTCAGTCATATCCAACAAAGCTACGTAAATATACCCTTTGTTCTAATCCTACACACACACAAAAGCATTTCATCGCATCTTGTTCAATATGCTGATCCCTCATGCATTTCATGTCTTAGTAACACTACACAGACATTGTAATTGTAACTGTTATGAATGCTATATTATTGTGTTATTATCGAGCTCACCTTTAACAGGTCCACTCCAGTGAGAGCATTGACAGACATAGGAAGTTCAGCCAGAAGGCGGGTGACCTCGCCCGTCATGCGGCTGCTCTCCCCACTCAGGATGACGATCTCATTGGTCCTGGCTAATGGCGCTGCCACCTTAGCAGCAATCTGCAAACATATGGTTATGGGTTTAATGTAAGTAGGAAACAATCAAAGTCTCCCACATGGAGTTCTCATAGATCATGTGATACATTTTGTACTTATAGTCTCATGACTCAGGGGTCATGTGATCCCATTATAAACATGAGAGCTGTCATTTTTCTTGTTATGGTTTGAATTGGGGTCTGGGTCCAGAATATATTAGTAGTTACTAGTGTAAAATACATTCTAATTTCCTAAAACTTAAGCATTCTACTGCTCTCTCAGCGGATTAAACAAAGAAAACATAAAAAAGATTAAAAAGATTATAGATGCTGATAGGCAGATTCATTCAGACAAGCTTTTCTCCCATTTCTAGTCTTGTGGCAGTAGCTCTGTATTTTAGATCTGAAGCAATTGGAGAAGAACTATATCTAGTCATGTACTCATTTCAGCAAAGACTCTTCCTGGTGTGGGAATCATGCATGTTATAAAAAGTAATAAGCATGCAATAAACCATTAAACTCAATAATCTCTTACCATAGGCAGGGCCTCGAGCACCAGCGCAGTCTTAGCTGCCTCTCCGTACAGCTGGTAGGCCTCGGCCTTCAGTCTCATCCTCTCCGCCTCCGCCTTGCCCACTGCCTCGATGGAGCACGCCTCTGCCTCACCGATCCTTCTGATCCTCTCTGCCTGAGCCTGTGCTAACAGCACTGCCTTTGTCCTGATGAAGGGAAAACACAAAGGTTAACATCACTAACTCAAACTATCAAAAACACATCGCACTATAGCCTGCTTTCTTCTGACTTATGATCATATCATATTTCCATATATTTGGGATCATTTGCCTGGCTAAAGTTTGACCCAAAGCGCAACTAATTACTACAAGCAAAATGTATGCCGAGTGACTGTTACACTTTGAAAAGTGAAACATTGAGTCTTTGAGGCTGTTGGCTATATACATTCAAGCATGTGTGACAGCCCACTGGTAAGTCCTTAAGAAAAACCAAACTTCTTTACAGGGCCGGTGCTGAGCTACTCTCTGGGAAGGTTACATGCTGATGTTATTTCAAAGAAGACACCAAAGCTGGAATATTGCTACTGTAGTTTTTGCACAAGAAGAGGGAGGTTTTTTTTACACTGGTGTTAGTTCTCTCAGTCATCCTGCATTTTCTACAGATTGTTGATCCTGGTTATTGCAGCTCATTTAATGCCCCTTTACGGAAAGGTTCCCACTCACTTGTGCCCTTCAGCAATCTGCTGCATTCTGTAGGCCTCGGCCTCAGCGGGCCTCTTCACTGTGGCGATGAGCTCCTTTTCTGTCCGCTCAATCTCCCTCTCCCCGATGGTGATCTGCTTCTTCCTCTGCACCACCTGGATCTCAATCTCCTCCAGGCGGATCTTCTGCTGCTCCTTAGCTGCCTGCAGCTCGTACGCCAGCTGGGCCTCTGCTTTCTGAAAACACCAGCAAATAGAACGCCACACACACCTGAGGTAACACACATTATGTTTGAAACCTACTTTCAACAGTGCCCACCTTGGTGTTGACTTCCTGGTTGAAGGATGCTTTATTCAGCTCCAGTTCTCGTTTGGAGTCGGCCATCTTGGTGTCAGCCTGGAATTTGACGTCCATCATCTCCCTCTTACATTCTGCTTCCTATGTGACAATAAATAAGTAAAGCAGTGGTCAGTTAATGGTTCTGTACGAAATAATCAATTTATCTGAATCTCCCACCTGCTAATGCCTCCTTACCCGTATCCCAGCATCCCTCTCTGCCTCAGCCACGCCAATGTCTGCATCCCTCTGCACAGCTGCAGTCTGCGTCTTCCCCAGGGAGCTCAGGTAGTCCAGTTTATCGTACACATCCTACACACACACCCACCCCCACACACACGAATACTTTATTTGGTTCCATAAATTATATTACATAAGACAGGGAATCAAATATATCGGGGCTAAGCAGCACAGAATACTTAGGGGAACACATAGCATCTCCCTCTCCACACGGCTAAGCTGCAGCTTTAAGGGAACACATAGCATCTCCTTCTCCACACGACTAAGCTGCCAATAATAGCTGAAACAGAGCAATATTTGGCAATTTGTTTGGCTTTTCTCTTTGACATTCCAGCAATTCTCAGACCAATCATGGTGCATTTATATACACTGCCAAGACTTCCTAATATAAGTATGCTATATCTACACTTGTACCCAAAGCTGGTTATCACATCGAGCAGTGGTTGGTATTTGATATACTTGTCCTGGAAAGCCTGGTCCATGTACAGGTCAAAGGCACAGCCTACTTCTAATATTAGCACCTCCCTGTGGTTGGTGTCAACAAAAACAACATCAGGTGTATTTGGGATGTTAGCAAAGACATCATTGGTAAAACCAAACCATTCTTGGTTATGTATGTACAACATCTGAAGATGTGTAGTTTTATTCATGCTTTCACATAATTTTACAGCATATTGCTATACTATTTCAGACTCAGTATTTACATTCTTATATTCAAAGAAAATCAGTAATATCCTTTATATCAGCTGTGCACCGTTATGGTGTAAATATAACCTATCTATGAATTAGATCAAATGTAAAAGTCAGCCGAATTAGTGTTGATACTGCAAGGAGACGTATTGTGTGAAGAGAAATTGAAGATGTTATTTAATTGTTGATATATTTATGATCCACGTCAAGTATTCAGTTTCGGCGGCATTTCTTCCAGTTTCTCTAAAGTTCTTCTCATCAGGGCTCTATAAATAAAGAACTACGGCAGATCTGTAATATGTAATGCAGCCGAACCGTGTATTACAATGCCGTTATGTGATGACTTTCAAAGAGAAAAGCAAGAACACTCGGAATTAAGTATTGTTTTATTATTTTAAAATGTCTTTCAACAAATTAGAAGGAAAAAAAGATTTAAAAATACAGATTTCATTATTCTGAGGCTCTGAGCCTTATTTTACTCACAGACGGCAAAAAAGTCCGAAATTATACGATTTAAAATAAAAGCAATAATTGTGGCTTGATATTGAGTAAGAGGCGGCCGCCTCGTTATTCGTGGCGGCTAGCGGCATTAGTAATATGCTTAAATTCAGCGGGTTATCTCGTCTGATCTGAGGTCGTAGTCGAATGTGGAGCTGACCCGGCTAGTGGCTAGCGGCTAGCGGCTAGCGGCTAGGGCTAGCGGTTAGCTAGTGTAACGTCATTGTATAAGTTACAGGGCTCTCAAGTTTTGAACAGAGTTCAGAGTGAGATTTTGGCAGCGGTGTTTGGTACTCCAACTTCTGGGTCCCCTCAAAGTTCCCATGAAGCCCTCTGTATCGCGAATGTCAACGGGGGGGGTGGTGTGCTAGTGGAGTGCACACGTCTCACACAAGCCTAGTTTGGTGGGCGGTACCCTGGAAAGAAATCTGTGCGTGAGAAATACAATGTGTGGCGTGTGAGCGTGTGAATGGAGTGAAATGCGTGTGTCTCACGCCACATGCGTGAGACTTGAGAGCTCTGAGGTTATTTATATGTATGTAAGTTTTGTCTCGTGTGTATGTAGTCTACTGTTTGTGATCGTTGTTGTGTCCTCACTCGTGGTCTGCACCTTGAAGTTGGTAATTAAGATGTTTTGCACAGCATCAGACACAATGTCCACAATACGGTCATGACGGGCTATGTACAGGCGTTTGTATGCATTACATCCATTTGTTATGTGTGCAATGGATTCTAGGTGTTGTTGTGAATCCTGATGGTTTAAAAAGAATGGAGTGTGAATGCGAGGGTACCAGGTGGACAGATTGTACTTAGTGGGTAATAACTGCAGTCTTGCTTTGATGGTAAATGTCAGAGCATCCTCACCAACAGCGGCGTTCTTAAACACTGAGTGTGAGACTGAGTGGTCAGCAAACCCCAAACAGGCTAGCTTTCCCTGTAATCTGAGTCCACACCAGCGCTGCCTGATCTCAGACTGCTTCATGCTGAGCAGAACCCTCCTTGCAGAGTCTCTGTGCAGTTCCACAGTCTCTTCCTGAGGTGTTGTGATGTCGGCCTTCACAACCACACTGGGGTCTGTGATCAGTTCATCAGAGACGGGGACTTCGGTCTGTGTGTTGAGTCTTGTCCATTTCAGCTGGACTCCAGTCCGATTGCGGAGGTCATTGAGATCTGGCCAGTCAGACCAGACCCCGAAGCCCTTGGCCTGAGAGTCCAGTTTCCCAGAGTCTTTCCTCCTGAAGCCGAGGAAGTTGTTCTGGTCTGCGCTGGCCAGGGGGATCTTCCTTCTTTGTAGATCCAGCAGGACAGAGGCCCTGGCCATTTCTCTTACGGTGACATCATCATTATTAAGCATGTGGATCAGGTGGGCTAGCCTGGTGGCTATGTAGGTCCACTCGACATTGGGGACTCCCAGCCCCCCCTCTCCACCTGGGAGAAAGATGATGCCCCGTGTGGAGTGTGTGTTGAGGCCCACCCACTTTCTGTCCAGCTGGACAGTTTTGTTTGTCATTTCTTTCAGTGCCTTGAGAGGGATGTGTACATTGGCAAAGAGATGTTGAATTTTAGCCAAAGCCACCTCTCTCACAGCCTGGAACTTCATGAGGACGGGGAGGGGGGACAAGTCAATCAGGTGGAGACGATGGAGAAACTCTGTAGTGAGCTCCTCGACCTGCTCCCCCCACTCGCCAGCGATGTTAAACCTGTGGCCAAGGTATGGGTAGGTCTCATTACGGGAATACACCTTAATGGGTTGGCCCATTACAAGAAACGAGGGGGGCTTGGCCTTATACCAGCGGTTGCCTCCACTGCGGCGCTCGTGGAGTACGGCACACTTGCTTCACCTCCAGCCCTGACCATTGGAGGAACTGCATGTGCCAGCATGTTAATAATGACATCCTCTTGTCGTGATGACACCTGCACNCAGCTCAGTCAGAGCCAGTGCTATCATGAAGAGGAATTAAAATCGGCTGTCCCTGAGTGCCGGGTGCTGGACTTCCATACGCTATGCACTCTACCAATGGATGAAGTGGATTTAGAACAGTTGCGCCATCCTCTGCACATTGCCAACTTCCAAAATCCTGTTCAGGGATATGCCGAGAAAAACAAGGAGATACGACCGTGCAGCGTGTCATCACACTTTAATCAAGAGGGGTAGGTCATCATTCTCATATATCTAATGCTGGCACGTTACTGATGAGGTTCCTCCATGTAGAGAATACACTGCCCTTCAATGGGTTTGCCCCCCATCTACAAGAGAAAGGAGGGCGGCTCTGCGTCCGTCTTGGCCCATATACCCAGCGTCCTCCACTGCGCGCGCTCATGAGTACGGCACATTAGCTTGCTTCACCTCCAGCCCTGACCATTGGAGGAACTCATCAGTGCGTGCCAGGATGTTGATGATGACATCCTCTTGTCGTGATGACACCTGCACGTTGTCGGCGTATCCCTGAACAGGATTTGGGGATTTGACATGCAAAGGAGCACACTGGTAAATCCACTTCATCGATTGGTTGAGTGCTAGGATGAAGTTCACGGCACTCCAGGGACTGCCAGTTTTTATTCCCACCTTCAGTGCAATCGGCTCTGTGAGCTGCTGCCCACAGATAACCTGGAGAAATGAACCTTGGTACACATTGGATACAATATTCACAAAAGGCTGAGGCAGGTGTATTTCCTCTAATGCTTTTAGCATCACCTCATGGGAGAGTGTACCAAACGCGTCTCTAAAGTCCAAAAAAATTGTGTAGAATCTAGATGATCCATGTTTGAAATCATCTATTCCATGTTTTAAGCAAAACACATGTTAGTTTATTCCCTGTCTGTTGATATGTGCTTTCAGAATCCATGTATCCACCAGCCAGGGTAAGTTTCGGGTGAGTAGGCACTTCATAAATACTTTATATACAGTGGGCAATAAACAAACACACACGGGCAATCCACAACTTATTTTCGCTCTGAATTCAGTTTGCCACATCTAACAAAAAAGTACACAGTTGATTAATGTAACATGTTTTGATTATCGAATCTCAAAAGTCATTTGTAACCAAAATGTGTTTGTATTGTTAGTATCGGGTATATCCCAAGTCTCTTAAATTCCACGTCTCCCTTAGTCATGTCTCAGAAACCATGCGGAGAGTTGAGTAAATGAGTTTTAAGACCAATGAGACGTCCTTTCCTTTGCATGGTCATGTTAAGCAACGTCCGTTTGTGATAACAGCAGAATATGAATATTTATTTATTCCATAGTGTTTTCTATTGTTAAAGGGGGGGGGTGAGGCTATATAGCCAAGCACTGCCCTTTATAATGATAAATTCAAATGGTGTTAATGTAGTTGTCATGGTCAGTAACCAGGCAACTTAGGCTGCAGCCACACGAGGACGATAACGGTTGTATCTGCTACACTTCTCTATCAGATAGACGGTTCGGCCACACGAGGCCGACATGGAAACGCAGAAAGCGATAACGATAACGGGACTCAAAGGCACACAGCACTTGATACAGTCTATTATTTTAGTGCTTGTTTTTGTCAACCTCCTTATTATGCTTACAGATCCCTATCCTGTAGCCCTCATTGGACAGATGTGTTTACTTTCCTAAACATGGCTAGTCGCATAGCATCATGTGGATGTGTATAGTTTGTTCATGCTTTTTAGTTTTTTCTGATGTGTGCTTTAAGTCACTCACATCTGTCTGGATCCATGCTGGGTCTGGTTCATAGACTGGTCTGATCCTGACGTTTGAAAAGGGAGGCAGGGGAAGCTAAACATAGCACTGGTGTTGCTACAGGTAGTTAGCCTTCTTGCTAAACCAGCTCCTTGAAAAAGAGCGTGTACTGCCTTCCTCTGTCCTTAACTCCTGCCTATGTCAGGCTGATCAGGTCCGAGCTCTGTTACTCTCAGCTTTCCCTCCAGTGTCCTCCTCTCAAAGGTTGTTTCTTTAAGGGATTAAACATCATGTTCCTTCTCCATATTCGCTATCTAGTTTTGTTTGCACTCCCTCAGTCTAACTCTCTCTCATTCAAACATCAATCACTCACTCTGGCGCTCCTGCAACAGCTGCTTTGGGCGCAGTTTGGTGCTGCTACTATCTGTTGCATTGAAGTGGTGCAGACTGCACATGCACCACTTATAACGAGAGTCTGTGGGCAAAGATTTCTGCGCCCCAAGCAGGATACATGTTACTTATCAGTAACTTTAGACACGTAAAACAATTCTAGAATGTGGGAAGAGGTGGGGCCACGCCCCCTATGGGCCGCTGTAATGGCTGTGTGGATGGCAAACTTCAGTACTCAGTGAACACATAAAGGAGGGTCTTTCTACCAACGTAGATGTTTGAAGACTTTTTGTTTTTATTAGCTCCTTCAATTCCAGCAGCCTTAAAGTGAACATAAACTAAGTTAGGACTCTGACCCTCCCTCTGTAGTGATAACATTGTGAATTTAGTGTGCTAGTAATTAGTTTGAATGTAATCTCTGGTGTGCACTGTCTACAGATGATGTGGAGTGTTGTGATGCTGCTGGCCACGGCCCTCGGTGTCGGTGAGTATCATCTCCTGTTCTCTATGAGATCTAACATCTCTGTTTAGGGTTTGTTTTACACAACAGCTGACCAAGAACATTTCTTTAATGGATATCACATGTGATGCAGCCTTCTTCAGAGAAAGCGCTCTGCAGCTGGTGAACATTATGGAGTGCTTAGCAGCTGTAGAGATGTGTTGCTTGTTGGTTGAGATGAAAACCAGAGCTAAAACAGTGAATATTGGAAATAAACATCATGTTGCTAAAAAATATTGGCATTAAAAATAATCTGGCAGAATGTTCCCATCACGGCATTCTTGTTTGGAGATAGGATTGAATAATTCTTTACAAAATAAATGGTGCAATCATTTTTGCATTTATTACAATTTTGCTATAACATCTCTAGAATGTCTGATAAAGGTCAGTTGAAGCCATATATAGAATATGACCACCGGTGCCTCCAACAGTAAAGAATTAAAGGATCACACTTTCCAGCAGATCTTTAAAATAATAAATATTTGAGAAAGGTTGCTATAACTTCTCATGGCTATTTGACAGTATTACATACTATATTAATAGTATTATATTTCCTTATTGTGAATTATATTCTTTATTTCTCCCCAAATATACAGTATATGTGAGTAGCAAGTATTCTTCCTTTTTTCTCATCGGCCTTTGTGTCAGATTCCTATGCTGTCCATGACCTCCATGAGCGTTTAGCCCATGGCCAGCAGCTGAAGATCTATCTGCCCAAGAGTGCAGAGAAGCTGGAGTTCATCTCAGCTGAGGATCCCCGCAAGATCTTTATGTACTGGGAGCATTCCAGACTCAGGTAGGACTCCCTCAGGGACAACCTGGGGTCTGGGCGTGGACACTGGCTCTGTGGAAGTTGATGTATTGTTCTGTCCTCTGCAGGACCAACAAAGGCAGGGTGTCTGGCACGGGCAGCGACCGACGCTGGTACATCGACAAGGTAACCAAAGTCTTTGTTTAAAGTCTAAATTGAATCATCCAATGTAAAGTCTACATTTTCTTTCAATAAAAGGAGTTGCTACATTAATTGATTTCCCTTTACCTAGTAACTTATTATATTTATTCTTTTACTTATTTTTTTCTTTTCTTTTTATCTGTACTTATTGAAAATCTTCCAATCATCACATCATATTTCAGTGGTGCGTTTGTTTTTGGCAGGTGACCTATGAGGACGAGGGGACATACATCCAGAGAGACTTCTGGAATAAAGATATTGCTTCTGTCAAAGTGGCCGTCACACGTGAGTTAGTCCACCAGCCATGTCTGCTACTATCTTTAGTTTATTTGAAAACATAACTTTAGGGTGAGTGTTAAACACCAGACATTTCTTCCTATTGGACTTGGGGTTATGCTAGTCATTCTCATCATTTTAGATGTTACATAAAATGGCAAAATAAATTCCAGAGTATCTCACATCCACTTTCTCTCCTCACCATAGAAAGAAATGGTGATGATAATATCACATACACCTCTTCCTCCTCTTCCTCCTCCTCCTCCTCCTCCTCCTCCTCACTATAATGAATACTAATGTAAATGCACGGCCTGTAGCTAAACCTGGCTACATTTATGACAGTGACACTCATCAACATCCATAGGGGCAGCATGAATGTAGGGTCAGGTGCAGCAGCACTTCAGATGATGACCAGTACCCAGCCTGCTCCTCTCTAACTGAAAAAACAGACTCAGGCTAACCTAGCAACATGAAATCAGAGCGCGTGCAAGCCAGCAGGGGAGGTAACCATAGAAAAATAAGTTTGCAATAGACAGTGACTTCAAAAGTATTCAACCCCCTTGAAACATATCAGAATGATCTGGATTTCAAAGGATACTTGCACACCTGTTCCATTAGGGCTATGCATCTTCACTGGTCTCACGACTCGATTCGATTACGATTATCCTGTCAACGATTCGATTCAATTCGATATCCCGATGCATCACGATTCATACCAATGCGTTGCATCCTCAATTTTCTATATTACTGCACATGGCTTATTTTTCATCAATGCATACATGCAGAAAATACATATGAACTCTCTTTTTATTATTTAGAAAGTGCTTCAGAAATCAATAACATAAATGTCTTGACATTAATTTATAAACCAAAATAAATTAATTGTATAGGTCTAGCCTCCCTATATCTGTGTGTGAAGTTGTTTCATCCTCAAAAACTAAAAAATAATGCTTCTGCAGTCTAGCTGCAGCTTCTAGCAACAGTCTTCTGTTAAAAAAAGGACACTGAATGTCTTGAATGTGGCATCACACACAGGACTTGAGTCTGAACACAGAAGACAACAGGAGTATTTACAAGAGCATATACAAACAAAAATACTGCATGTGGGTGCACACTTACATTCTCTGTCTTACTGTTACATAAATCCCATGAATGTATGAGAACAAGTTAGCTTCATTATATCTCAGTGATTAAGTGAATAATAAAGTTTCTATCGGGTCACTATCAGCCTGTCACTCATTATTTTAAGGGAGGGGGCTGGGTTTGGAGGAACGGAGAGGAGACGGTGATCGCGGAAGCTTTTTTCCTCCTGCCTTCACAAACTTTACACACGTATATATCGTCTGAAAATTGCTAGAGGACATTCATACTCTGCAATCCAAGACTTAATTAAATCCACCAAAAACCTGACATGATTGTAACGCGATTATTTTTGAAAAACATAAATCCCTGTGTCTCTGAGCCGCAGCGACACGGAGTGTTTCAGAGCGGGTCCTTCTGCTGTTGGTTTTGGACTGGTGTTCTTGTGTTGGTGGATAAAGCAGACTGCTCCGTGTTTGGTGTTGCTGTGCCGCTGTCACGTCTGTTCCCTGATCTCTGCGTCACCGACCGATTTGATATTAAAGTGACAGAAAAAAAAACGTTATAGTAAAGCCTCGGCCGGAAAATCAGAAAGCAACGTTACTACGCGATAATTGATTATCTTCCATCACTGCATCGATACCGAATCGTCTACGTCCGCATCGCAATGCATCGTAGAAACGATTATTTTCAACACCCCTCCAGTCAGTATCAGCTAGAGCCAGTATGGCTGGATGAATGACGCTCGTGGATCGCAGCTTCAAACAGTGCCACAGATTCAGGACAGAATTGAGATCAATTGACCTGACACATTAGCAAGCCACTGTATCCATAACACAATATTACACTCTGCGCTACGGATAATATTTGGGGGCACAGTTCTTTGAGTCAAGCATTAGATAGGAATGTAAGCGTATTGCAATTATATTGCTATAGACTTCATCTAAAAAACATTTATGCAAACTTTTTTTTGTGCCCAAGATATCCCTTTGCACGCTCAATGTGTTTGTTGTTGTCCTCTGTATTCCAGCCAGACACAACAACGTGAAGCGTGTGGCAGGAGAGAGCCTCCTCATCTCCCTGGAGGGCATCGACCTGGCTGACGCTGGCCTCTCCTTCTCTGGGGAGGCTGCCAACGTTACACTGGTGACAATATGGGATAGAAACTGAATGGAATGATGGATAGCTAGATGATGGGTAAAGGATGGGTAGATGGGGGATGGATAGATGGACGAATAATGAAAGAATAGTGAATAGAATAGAGGTGATAACTGGACGGGTCCCTGGTGGATCGCTGTCTGCCTCACACCTCTGTCTCTGTTTCAGTTACACGTGTCAAAGTCAATGGTGAGGTGCGTTAGCTGAACATAAGAAATATTACATTTCTAAACATGGATTACCTTTTACAAGCTTTCCCGGGTTATTTAGATGTTGGACACCATGGATGACATTTAAAAAAATATATATATATTTTAAAAGCTGTTTAGAAACGGCTGTGGTTCAAGTGTGAATGTAGCTGTGATCCTCCTCAGGTGCGAGATGGTGCTCCAGTCTCCCAGGACCTTCCAAATTATTGGGACCGTGTTCAGACCCACTCCATTAACATCGAGATCAGGAACGTGAACTACAGTGATGAAGGACACTATACCCTGAGAGACCGCAGGGACCGCATGGTGTCAATCACCAGAATGGACCTGACAGGTTTTTATTAGAGATACACTTCTATTTATGATCCCGTCTGTTTGATGAGTATATTTGGTCATACTTTAGTATGAAGTCTCCTTGTTTTCTGATGATCTTCAGTTCGCCCTGTTACATGTACTTACTGTTCTGATAAAAGCTCAACACTAGTTAGTGTGAATGCCACAGCATTCCACTATAGTACTTCAAATCTTTTTTCTTCCCCTTCATCTTCTTATTTCAGCCAATACTTTGGCTCTCCATAACTTCATCTTACTTTCAGCTACAGAAACCATTCAAATATTAAACTATTCAGCCTTTTCAGGAATCGATGGGAAACTTTCAACTTTTTAAAAATATTTTATACTTTTTGAAATATTCAGCTTTTTAAACTCTTTTTTTAAACATGGAAGTCATTGCAATGCATTTGAGCTGTAATAATTTGATTCAAATCATTTCACTTTTCTGCATTTCTCTGCTAAGTTCAGCAACACACTTACTTGGTCTCTGTAGCTAAAAGCAGCTACCATTCAGCTAATAACATATTCAGCTTTTTCTGCATTTTCAGCTAAATTCAGCCATAAATGTTCACAGTTTACAGCATTCGCACGCATTTTCGGCTGGAAATGCATTTTCTAGTTAGTGCGAATGCTGTTTACAGCATTCCACTATAGTTCTTCGAATCTTTATTCTTCCCCTTATTTCAGCCAATACTTTGGCTCTCCATAACTTCAGCTTACTTTCAGCTG